GTATTCGTCAACAACAACAAATCCGTAATAGTTGCCACCTAGACTTCTTGTCTGCTAAAGCCCAAACAAGTTTAAATGGAGAAGCTCAAGTGGTTTTGATGTCAAAATAACCTTCTTCGGTTTAACGACGCTCTTGTTTGCTTTCCCATTTGGCAAGTATCACATGATTTATTTTTTGAAAACTTTATTTTTGGAAGACCAACTACTAGATTTTTGGATGCTATCTTATTCAGCAAGTCAAAATGCACATGGCTTAAACGTCTATGCCTTAACCAAGAATCCTCATTCTTAGCTACTAAACACTTAGTTCCATGCATTGAGACATCATCTAGATCAAGCATATAGACATTTTCAATCCTAGAACCATTAAACATAAGGTCCTTGCTAGTCTTATGCTCAATTATACAACTAAGAATATAAAACAAAACCAAATACCATTTGTATCATAGTTTTCTAATACTTAGTAAGTTGTGTTTAAGACCTTTCACTAACATCCCAATTTCAATGGTAATTGTGGAGGGATTTTCCACAATACATTCACTAAGAATTTTACCTTTTGTATTTTCTCCGTAGGTGATGTGACCACTTGCCTTATCATTGAACTTGATGAACATGAAAGCATCTTCCATCATGCGTCTTGAACATCCGCTATCTAGAAACCATAATCTTTTTGAGGAGGAAAGACTTTCCCGTGACAAATCAATAAGGTAATTTAGGTCCCCAACTAGTGGGTTCTTCAGAGGTTGTTTAGTTACATTTAGGAATTCGTGTTATTTTACCATTGAGAACTTGAAGGTTCCTAACATGACAAAGAAGCCTAATGTGACCCTTATCTCCATAATAAAAACAAACAGCCTTAGATGAAACACTCATTCTATTTCTCTTTGTGACATGAGGATTTTTCTTCAAAACCTTCCCCCTTTCACTTCAATAACTAGAACAAGCATTAGATAATGATGCAACATGAGTTAACTATCCTTTAAGAGTTTCAATTTCAGTTTTTAAAATTGGACATTCAACACATTCCACAACTCCTATCTTTTCATCTAAAGTATTCGAAACAATACAACACTCTTCCACAAGAGATGTGTGAACTTCCTTTAAACAATCTAAATCATAATTAAGATTATTTATCTCTTGTTCAAGTGTATCAATATTTTATTTTTGGAGAGCACTTTCTTAAATATTTAATGGAATCGTCATACATGTCGTTGAATGCATTAGACAAGTCACCATAAATATACTCATTTTTAAAATTAGAAATATATACCTTTAAAGTTCCACTTTTCTTTAATGACATCAACCAAAAGTTGGCGCACACTCATCATCTAAACTCGAGCAGGAATCGGAGAAGAAACTTTCCACATCTTCTTCCCACACGATGTAGGCTCTACGACCTTTAAAAGATTTTCCCTTCATCTTGTAGAAACCCCTGTCTTTACTTTTATGATGTTTAGTGATATTTGGGCATGTAGTTCTAGAGGTGGCAATTGAATCCATTAAGGCAAAATCCATCTAATCCATCCATCAAAAAATCCATCCAATCCATCCACCACACAAAAAATAAGTTAATGGATTGGATTAAATCCATCCATTTATATGCATGGATGAATTCAATCAATTCAACATATTTTAAGGATCCAATGGATTATTTTTATTTTCGTTAGATTTATTTTTTAAAAAATAATTAAAAAACTATAATTTTTTTTCTGAAAAAAAAAAGTTTAATTTTTTTTCTGAAAAAAAGGTCTGTTTTATTTTTCCAAAAAAATCGTTTTTTTTTTCAGAATAAAAAACTGATTTGTTTTTCGAAAAAAAAAAACAAAATTTTTTCTCGAAAAAAATCGACTTTTTTTTTTGGAAAAAAATTGATATTTTTCAAAAATTAAAATATTAATTTTTTTTGAAAATACAAAAAATTCAGTTTTTTTAATGAATATATTAAAAAATGATTTTTTTTTTAAATACAAAAAATGAATTTTTCAAAAATAAAATAAAATCAATTTTTTAAAAATAAAAATATATATTTAGTTTTACGAAATAAAAAAAAAAGTTGGATGGATGGATATCCATCCATTAAAAATATGTTAATGGATGAATTGGGTGAATTTTATTCTTAATGGATGGATTAGATTGGATAATTTTAAGAAAATTTTAGTGGATTGTTAATGGACTAATGGATTGTTTTAATCCATCCATTAACAATCTAATCCATATCCATCCAATCCATCCATTTTGTCACCCCTATGTAGTTCTATAGTGTCCAAATTTACCACATTCATAGCATGTGATCTCATCATATTCTTTCTTGTTATCCTTCTTAAGTGGATACGTATTTATGAAATTCACTAGACCTTTTTTCAGTATGTTTGAGTTTGTTTCTCTTAAGATATCTATTGTAGCGTCCGATGAATAAACCTATTTCTTCCTTTTTGGAAACTTCTTCGCTAGAGTTTTCACTTTCTTCCTTTGAATTATTAGCTTTTGAGAATGAAGCTTTCAAAGAAAGATCTCGTTTCTCTTCTTTTCCTTTCTCTTTCTGTTTTGACTTTACTTCGCTACCAGTGAGCCGTTTCAGCTCATTCTCATGCTCGACTAACTTCCTAAACAGTTTAGTAATATCCAAAGTACTAATATCATTTGATTCTTTTATGGCGACGAGTTTTGGTTGTCACTCCTTGCACATGGATCTCAATATTTTGTTAGTATAATCTTTGTTGGAAAAAGTTTTACGTAAGTCTCAGTTTGTTGATCAAACAAAGGAATCTAGTTTGCATGGAATCCATGAATTATCCAGGTTCCATACAAAATAATTCAAACTCCTCTGTAAACATATTAGTTTTAGAATCCTTAATTTCCTCCGTTACGTCGTAGAGAGTTTGGAGAGCATCCCACATACCTTTAGGACTCATATGATATAAAATTGAATATAACACTTTAGCACTTAGTGCTAAAATGATTATGTTCCTCACTTTCAAATTATATGAAGTCTTTTTGGTTTCACCATCAGTCCAATCTTTTGGATGTTTAACAATGTCATTATCGCCCTTGGGAATATATGGTCACTGTTGTACCCCAAAATTTGACCGACTTCTCTGGCTTATGTTTTATTTCATTGCATCAGCATAATACATAAGCATTGCATTGCATAGCATTTTTGCATTCCACAGGGGATCAAGAAATGTGTGTCTAACAAAAATTACCAATGGTTCTTAATCTGATCAAGGAGGTTATATTCAAGTCATCAAGTGGTTACCCTTATCAGAGACAAGTCAAGGTCCTTGAAGACAAACAGATAAGCATATGTGGTTGTCATGGGCAGAAAAATCAAAAAATATATATGTTGCTTCCATCATAAGATTGAACTGAATTGGATAGGTTTTGGTTGGGGTTCATTAAGTAGGAATGAGTGAAGTATATGTCGAAGTCCAGGTTTGACTTAATTCATCAGCAAGAAAGGGATCTATTTTGTTATCAAGGTCATGGTGCATTGATCTAAATGGTGTGTGACTAAAGCCCCAACCAGGGTTATGTGCAGTGTACCGAAGTTCATTTCTCAAGTCATAATATTTTGATTTTTCAAGAAGTGTTCCATGAAGGTTTCAACTCATCACGTTTTCAAATGGCAAACATCAATAATGATTTGACAATTGACTCATGATTAAGTTTGTTCTGTGACTGACTTTAATGCTCAAGGACCAATTCAAAGTATCATCCAGGTTAGGGAAGATTTGAGAGTAGTCTTAATTGAGAACACGCAATTATTTGTGATTTCAATTATGATTGCTTTCTAATCAAGAAATGGAATAAGTCAGGGCATTGCAGATTTATTTCAAAGACTTTTTGTATTACTAAAACCTATGATTCAAGTAATTTGCAAGAGAATCACTAAAGAATCCATCATTTTGTTTCAAGCATATTATTTGAATCCATATACATTCGTCATAAAATATCGTGACCAATACAGGAAATGTCACACAAAAAAAACCTGTACTCTATCTCGGTTGAAGTACGGTGGTGCGGGTATCTCTCATCGCTTTCTAATGGTGTCGCAGTGTCCCACAAAATCACCCGCTACCAATGACAATCTTGAACTTGAAATCATTTCTAAGGGTTCATTACATTTTGATGAATGGGTTTCACTCATCTTAGAGGTTGAGAAAACATATCCTGATAATGTAGATAAAATATGTCTAGTTTACGATCATTTCTTGTCTGAATTCCCTTTGTGTCACGGGTATTGGAAGAAGTATGCGGCACACATGTCACGGCTATGCACCATGGATAGGGTTGTTGAAGTCTTTGAACAAGCTATGTCGGCTGCAACATATTCGGTTGGCTTGTGGGTTGACTACTGTAGCTTTGGTATGTTTGCTTTTGAGGATGCATCTGATATTCAGAGATTGTTCAAGCGAGCCATTTCCTTTGTTGGGAAGGATTACTTATGTCATACCCTGTGGGACAAGTATATCCAGTTTGCGTTTTCCCAGCAGCAGTGGGTTTCTCTTGCTCACATTTATATCCAGACCCTTAAATTTCCAACCAAAAAATTACACCAGTATTATGATAGTTTTAAAAAGCTGCTAACCCTTTTGGAAGAAGGCATAACAAGCCAGGACGAACCTTCAATGGAATTACAATCTGAATCATGTTTTGATGGTGAAATTCCCATGACTACATGTTGCAATGATGACAAGATTTATTGTATTATCAAAGATATGGCGGATTCGTCCGTTGGATTGACCAGTTCAATAGCACTAAAAAAGTACAGGATCATTGGAGAACAGCTTTATCATAAGTCTTGTGAACTGTATTCAAAGATTAGCTCTTTGGAGGCAAATATTCCAAGATATTACTTTGATGTCCGGCCACTTGATGCAAATCAGTTGCAGAATTGGCATGATTATCTGGATTTTATTGAACTTCAAGGGGATTTTGACTGAGCTGTGAAACTTTACGAGAGATGCTTGATTGTCTGCGCCAATTATCCTGATTACTGGATGCGTTATGCGGACTTCATGGAAGCCAAGTCTCAGCAGAGATTATCCGGTGCCGACAGGAAGAAGCTAAAACGAACCATTAGAGACAAATTCCCAAGAGCTTCTGATTCTGACCTAGACATTCTACTTCCTCCTAAGGTAGAGATAACAGTGGCCAAGTTTCAAACTCGAGTTCATGTGTATGCTGTGGAGGGAGGTTTTCCTGTGTTTTTCGACGTCGATGGTCGCGGTTCGGACATTTTCCCAACAGTTTATGCTCTATGGATGGTCCCTGAGCTTCTGCCAGCTTTCATACTCAAGGGTGGCGAGGTTTCTCGGTATGTTATAGGTGGAGCTGACTTGATGTTCCCTGGTATACTTGTGCCTCCTGAAGGTCTTCCATCATTTGCGGCTGGGGAAACATGGGCGGTTAAAGTACCCGAAAATCCTGCACCCATTGCGGTTGGGAGTACAACGATGAGCAGCGTCGAAGCTTTGAAAGCTGGGAAACGTGAAAAAACTGAGAAATCTATTAGTCTTGAAGTTCTACAACGTTATTTCGCTGGGAGTCTTAAAGATGCTGCAAAAAGCCTTGGCGTTTGTCCTACTACAATGAAGCGCATCTGCAGGCAGCATGGTATATCCCGTTGGCCATCTCGAAAGATCAACAAGGTTAACCGTTCCCTGTCAAAGCTCAAACGTGATATTGAATCTGTGCAAGGGGCTGAAGGGACGTTTGATTTGAATTCTCTCAACGCTAATCAACTCCCAGTTGCTGGTTCTTTTCCCGACCATTCTACTCCGAACAAGTCCAGCCAGCAAACTTCATTAAACATTAGTCCATCAGAGCCTCAGATGAAAGAAAATGAATTTTATGCCCCTAAAGTATTAGACACAAACATACTCTGCAAAACAGCCCCACACCAGACCAACAGACAACATTCTGCACAAACCGTACCAGTTGCATCAAGACACACTAGCTGGCAGTACCTGCTATGGCTGGTACAAACCGCAGGAAAACAACATGCCAGACAATTCCTGCACATGAAAGCAACAGACATGAAATAAACCAAGACAATACACAACCATTGGACATAGCATGAAAAAAGGGGAGAAAAGACACTCATCTGAGGTTTTTGAGATAAAAAACCGGAGAATCACATAGCACAACATCATAACCTCCACCTTAAAATCTCCAAACATCTGCCCTCTCTGTTCTTCATCCTCAACCCAAAACTCACCCTTCACTCTTTTCTCAACAACGTGTTCAACTGTTCATGTTGAACCTTGAAACATCATGTCCTTCAAATCACACCACCTCCACCAACTAAATCATCATCAAGTGTGCATCAACCATCACCCTTGAAGATTCATTATTGTTCTTTTCTGATTGGAATAAATACAACAGAAACAACACACGCAGTGAACCACTATAGCACACACATCAACCATTCTTCACACTTCAGACCACCATCCTCAACAACATATGTAACTCGTGCACTCTCCATTTTCTCCTCCCTGCTTTGTACAACCTTCTTATCATAATCCACACTTCTTCCTTCATGAATCACAAAACTTAACACTCTTCTTGGAAGCTCTTGAATCTGGCGTCCCAAATCAGTTAAACAACTTTCATTTTCCGCTTCAAACCTCCACTTGTCTCCTTTGGAAAAGCATCAATATCAAAATCCCAGAGTGATTTCACCAAAAAAACCTATTGCTTCGAATCTCATCTTCACCGTTGAACAACCGTTTCCACCGAACCGTTGTCACCTGCACAAACTTTCAGCCCTCATCTTTCAACCAAACTGAAAACCCTTTCCTTCGAAGTAAACACGCCCAGAACTCCATCCTCACAATGCAACGCCCACACCACACCGTATTCAACTTCAACATCCAACCCACCTGCGAAACCCCATCACAATTCTTCACCATCGACCTTAAACGTCCCCGCCATTGTTCGTAACCCACCGTTTTCGTCTTCGTAACACATTTAAATCACTAATCCCTCTCAGTCCACCCTCACCATCGCGAGACCCATCAACCATTTCAGAACCAAATCCACTCGCAAACCCCAAAATCCATTTCCTCCATTTGTTCTTCAATCATCATCACTGATCAACACAGCAAACAACCCATAATACCCAAACCCATGGATTTTTTCGAAAACAGAGAAGATTAGAAGAAGAAGTCGAGTTGAAATCGCAAGAGATGAATAGGAATACTTTGAGACAAATTGGGATGTTTTTTTTTGAGAAATCACGCTCAATTTGGTTGAGGTGTTTGGTTTTTTTTTGAGCTTTCGTTATTGTGTGGGCATCTCAGGAGCTGATTCATATTGGGTTTTCTTTCCACCATGTTTGTATTAGAGGATTTTCTTGGAGATTGATTTCAGTGGGCCGTGTGACTCGGTTGGTTTTCCTCTCTCTTTTTAATTTGTTTTTACTGAGTTGTTGTTGTTGAGTTGTTCTAGCCCAACCGGTTTCACCCATATCTACACCCCGTCTCTATTTCATGCCCCCTCCCTTGTTTTGTTTTATATTTTGTTTTCTTTAATATGTTATTATTATTAATTTTTTTATAACTTTTCTTTAGATTATACTATATATATTATATTTCTTAAAATAGTTTTTAGAGTTCTATATATTAGGGTTTTTTATGTATATTATTAGAATTTATATATTATTTTCCTTTTTAAGTTCATAATGTTAGAGTTTATTATATATATTTTTTAGAAGTTGATTCCATTTCACACTTGTTATTGGACATTTCATTTCATCTTGTTTCGGTCGATGACGACATTTCCTTCGATCCTCTGTCAAATTATTGATGAGGAATGAAGGATCTGAGACCACCTCTTTTCTCTCCTCATTTCTTGTCCCAATTCGATTCACCGACGCTATCAAACCATCTTGTAAATAAAATTCTCTTTGTATTGGATTAAAAAGACAGGATTAAGTGTAGTCTTCTTCCTCTTCGAGTGTTGGGATGCCCACTGTAGTGAGGGTGGTTTCGACACTCGTCTTTCAATACGAAGACGACATTCTCTCTCCTCCTAAAAACCTCGGTCCCGCACCGAGTGACTTTTCAAACCTTCCCTCCTAAAACCTCGGTCTCGTACCGAACGCATTTTCAAACACTTTCAATAATGAACTAATTTCTCTTTGTATTGAATTAAAAAGAGAGGATTAGGTGTAGACCTCTTCCTCTCCAAATGTTGAGATGCCCACTGTAGTGAGGGTGGTCTCGATATTCGTCTTTCAATACGAAGACACGCCTCCATCCACCACCTCTCCTTCTTCAACTTCCTTCCACAATTTTCACACCTAAAACTTCGGTCCTGTACCGAGTGCATTTTCAAATCTTTTCATAACAAAAACTTGAATGGTCGTGGAGTGGTTAGGCGTAGGCCTTCTCCTATCCCGAGTGCTGACGTTTACCGTAGGGTTCTCTGTCGCAAAAAGCACTTACCATTCAAAACCAAAAGCACTTTAATAAGAGAATGAAGTTCTCTTTGTGTTGAACTAAAGAGAGAGGATTGAGTGTAGTCTTCTTCCTCTCCGAGTGTCAGGATACTCACTGTAGTGTGTGTGGTCTTGACGCTCGTCTTTCAATACGAAGACGCCTCGTTCGCCACACCCTTTTATAACAAAAACTTTGAGATAAAGAATTGGGTACTACCCGTAGGGGTTACTATCCGAGGACCTATCTCGCCCCTAAAAAAACAATTAACCAATCAAATATGACATCTTGCCTCGTCTGGCGAAAACCAATCTCCCAAAGGATATGTTACGTCCGTTCTACCGCAAACAGGTACGCATAAGTCTCCAAACGAGCGAGCAGCAAAACACCTAAACTGCTAGAACGCGTACAATAACATCATCCCCAAACACACCGGTTATCCGCACCGTAGGCACGAACTACGTTGCTCTGATTTCTCATCTGTTGAGAATACGTAGGCATAGGATTGCAATGATCCTAGCGAGCACCCTTTTCTTTTTCCACCCTTTCCCAGAAAGGCATGCTACGTCTGTTCTACCGCAAACAGGTAACGCCTAAGTCTCCAACGAGCGAGCAGCAATACACCTAACTGCTAGAATGCGCACGATAGCAGCGTCTACCGAGACTCCCCCCGCACACCGTAGGCCGAACTACGGCTGCTCTGATTCTTTACTTCGTTCAAGTAAAGATACGTAGGCACAAGGGCCACAATCCTTGGCGAGCACAATCCCCCCTATCACCCGTAGTTTCCCGAACTACGTCGACTCTGACTTTCTCATATCTGTTGAGAATACGTAGGCCTAGGACCGCGAAGTCCTATCGAGTCAGTTCTTTCTCCCTTTCTTTCCCTCGTCACCCCTTGTTTCCCGTTTCTAAACCTTTCCCTTAACCCTTTTGAAACACACTTCTTATAGCATAATATTTAAGCAGATAAATTCACACATCGACAAACAAAAGGTTCCCATCGAGTACGATGGATGCGAGGGGTGCTAATACCTTCCCCTCGCATAACCGGCTTCCGAACCCGTTCATGGTTGCGAGACCATCTTATCCATTCTTTTCTTAAGGTTTTCTCGATATTTTCCTTTCCCCTCATGGGATAAATAAAGTTCGGTGGCGACTCTTCTGTCTATCTTTTTCGCCTCCCCGTCGTTGCGCGATGCATTTTTTCGAGTAGCGACAGCTGGCGACTCTGCTGGGGAATACAATGAGAAAGCCACGCCTATTTTGTTTGTCGCATTTGTGCTTTATTTGTTTTGCTATTTATTTTATGGTTATGTTTCTTTCTAACTTGTTGGGTTCATTTGGTTTGGTTTGTGAGGATAAAGCTTTCTACCCGAGCTTTCGAGTATGCACTAAGTTAGGAGGTGGTTTCTTTCTGATTTGCGAGACTTAGGACTCGTTGAGTTGGATCGAATTCCACCGCTCAGATGAGACCCCTTTGGGATGATTATGTCTTACGAGTAGTCGTAATGGCATTCTTATTTCCAACTTGGGAGTCCACGATTCTGAGGACCTTTTGTAGAACCTTATTCTGAAGGTTGCTAAAACATAACTCTGTGTTCATCCTTTTGAAGGGATTACCGTCTTACGAGTAGTCGTTATGATGGGAAACTTTTGAGGGTTAGTGCATGGGACTTTGTTTGAAAAGCCTTTGGAATACCCTCTTAAACCAATAGATTGCTCACCCGAGGTGAGAGATATCTCGTTGTGCTGTCTTGCAAGAAACTTTGGCCTTCATCCTACCCGTTTGTCAGTAGGAACAGTTACAGTGGGTTCCTTGTACTAATGTTGTTTGGTCTCAAGGCGAAGCGCTGGTCCGTCACCGTCAACAACACAACAACTTTTGATCCCCTGTTGCATTTGCATATTCATTTGCATTTCTTTACATGCCTTGCATATTGCATCATTCTTCATTTGCATAGAGGTGTTCTAATTTTGTGGACGTAATTGCTTCATGTGGTTTTCCATCCGGCTTGTTCCAGAATTGAAGATCCAGCCATTCACCAGTATTCCACCAAAGGAAACCAACAGAGGCAACTATGGAACAAATTCGAGAAGAGTTGAGGGGAATCCGAAGCCAAATGGGACAATTCATGACGGACATGCAAGTTTTGTTTCAGGATCAGAAAGTGCTTAGAGAAGAAGTCCATCAGTTGAAGACTCAGATGGGCCTGATAACAGAAGTCATGAGGAATGTGTTGAGAAAGGAAGGCGATCATGTGCCCGAAGCTGCAGCAGAGATGGCCATCCCACCTTTACATGTGGAACCTCTCCCGAGGCGTGAAGTGCCTCAAAGATATCTTACACGACCTGAGGTTCCAGTATTTCCTCGCCAACAACTACTTCCTGTTTCCCGAGACAATCCTAGGATTATGAGGTATGCTCAAAGGACGAAGCAGTCCGACAGAATGCTCAACCAGATCCCTATGACTTATGCTCAGTTGTTGCAACTCTTGCTTCAACTTCGATTGGTTAAACTCCGGACTATGGCTCCGTTGACTGGTGAGCCGCCACAGGGCTATGATGGAAATGCCCATTGTGATTTCCATTCTGGGGCACCGGGG